CCCCACACCTACACAGTGGTCTGAAGTCAGATCTCTCCAAATCCCTTATGCCCCACACCTACACAGTGGTCTGACGACTTCCAAATAGAAAAGTGGGAATAGATGTGGAGTCTTCAGTGACGAGCGGTTCATTTCCAACAAGCCAACAAGCGAGAGACTCGCATTGCTTGGGTCCACCGGTGTCCAGTCAGCAGACCTGGGGGCCGTGAGCGAACACGGGGTCTCCATCACAGTTATCCAGACGGGTGCAGCGGCGTGGACAGGTGCTTGCCCCCGGAATATTCTGGTGAGCAGAGTCATCCAGCGTGGGCACTTTTGTTGGTGGTGTGGGTGTGCGTTTCCCCGCAAGGCCGGCCCTCACCGAGCTCCTGTGGGCACTGGGGGTGAGCTGGGAGAAGGAAAGTCCAGCAGAGATGTCCGAGGTGGCGCGTCTTTTGTTACACAGACACCACAATCGAACAAAAGGATACAGCGGTTGTGCTGGTGGTGTGATGGGAGGGGGGATGTGTGTGTGTAGTGGGGGCCGTAATGAGGAGGAGATATATTACACTGGCAATAAAACAACTAAAACTTTTATTTTGTGTGGGTTTGCAACAAAATGGGCTGTGACTAAACCGTCTGGCTGTTAGCTGCAGGCCAGACACCAGGATGGGTCTCCCTGGGAATTGGACTCCGTCAGGCCCCTCTTCAAGAGAACTGGGAAGGATATTAATTCTATTAATTAATGCATCCGTGGATTCCACCTCAGCAAAGCATGTCTTAATGAGGTGTCAGGGCATCCATTATTTATCTTGTAAATATCGACTTCAGGGTCGTGCTGAGTCAGACCGTGCAGCACATGTCCCTGCTGGGGACACAGGGCTGGAGGGCAGGGACAGCCGCTCCCCGCCCCCCCCCCTCGCCATCCCTCTATGGGCTGCCCCTCTGCCTCCCCCCTCCCCTCCTTACCCTCCAGCACCCTAGCAGTGGCCTTCCAGAGCAGGCGAAGCAGTCCTCCCTCAGGCTTTCCTGGACGCATTCCTTCCAGACCGCTCTCCGGCAGCGGCCGGCCGTTCTGCGGAGCACAACGGGCAGTACAGAGACTCGAACAGGCGACGTCGCAAAGCACTCGGTGCTGTCCATGAAGGAGACTGAACTCACTGGCAGCTGCCACCGCACGTCCATCGGAGGACGCTTTCCAGACTCAGACGGGCTAGGAGAAAAGACCTCCGCTCTCCTGGAGTTCCGCTACGATCGAACTCATGGATCCCAGTGGTCCCGTGGGTCCCCAACGCACACATTCCGGGCAGCGTGGGGTCACCATGAGTCCACCCAGATGCTAGCGACAACCAAGTTAATGGCACAAAGTCAGATCTCGTAACCCACTTAGCTTATGGCTGGGCCGCATTACCAGCGGGGTGCACAGCACCCACCCCACCCCTCGCTCCCTCCCTGCCGCGCGCGCCCCAATCCTGGAGCTGTCTGGGGTTCTGGCCGCAGAAGCCGCTACCCTCCGACCTGTGCGCGCGCGTTCCCGGGTCCGGGTGCGCGAGGATCCGGCGCTGCCTCCACTGCGCAGCCTCCGTGCGCCTGGCCCGGCCCGCGAGCGCGGAGACCCAGCGGCCACGGCTCGCGCCCGACAGGGCCTGCGCGTGAGAAGACCCCCGCGGCCGCGACTCCCTCCCTTCGCGGCTCGAGTTGGAGACTCAGCAGCCCGGCCTTCCGCTTCGCCCCGCCCGCCCCGCCCGGCCTTGACTGTGCTGGCGACCCCGCGGCCCAGGCCACCGCCGGTCCTGCCCTGGGCGCACTGAGATGCGGAGGCCCGGTCTCCAGCCCGGTCCTGCCTGCGCGCACTGAGACCCCAAGGCCCCAGGGCCCGCCTGGCCGGGCCTGCGCACAGAGCCCCCGCGGACCCGGCTGCCCTGGGTTACTGAGACCCCACGGCCCCAGCTCTCGCTTGACTGGCCCGGGGCGCACTGAGGTCCGGAGGCCCCAGCCTCCCGACCCCCGCGGCCCCGGCTTCCGCCCGGCCCGGCCATGGCGCTCCGCAGCGTCCTCCTGGCGCAGTGCGCCTGCTACTTGCTGGCTTTCCTCTTCAGCGCGGTGGCGCTGGTGCCGCTGGCCGAGAACGGGCACAGCTTCGGCGGCCGGTGTCTGCTCTTCACCGAGGGCATGTGGCTGAGCGCCAATCTGACGGTGCAGGAGCGCGAGCGCTTCACCGTGCACGAGTGGGGCCCGCCGGCCGCCTGTCGTTTCAGCCTGCTCGCCGGCCTCCTGTCGCTGCTGCTGGCCGCCGCGCACGCCTGGCGCGCGCTCTTCTTCCTCTGCAAGGGCCACGAGGAGTAAGTAGGCCCGGCGTCCAGCGCCAGCGCGCGCCCTCCCCTCACCGCCCCTCGCCTCTGGTCCCTACGCATGCACGGCCGTGGCCAGCGAAGCAACCCTCTGCCCCTCCAGGATCAGCTTGCTCTGTCGTCTCGCCGACCTGGCCCGCGCCTTCAGGACCCGGGACAGCTCCCTACGAGGGCTCGCCCGGGAGGGACCAGGCCCGGTGACTGAGGCTGGCTGGGGAGGGGGCTGGCAGAGTGAAGGCCCGGAAGCCCGCCCCCCATCCACTCTGCGCCTAAGATCGTGGCTGGGCATGCGCAAAACATGGCTACAGGCTTTGGGCTTCATGCCAGTCAGCCTCCCAGCCTCCGTTCTGTTTCCTGTCAGCACCAGGGCCCCAGGAGGGGCCAGGGGTCACTGGGGACCGGTCCACTCATCTGGCTCAGATCCCTGCAGAGGTCCGGTAGACCTAGAGTCCAGGTCTGCCCTCACTCACACCCTAATCCGAGCCCCAGGCTCTCCCACCCTGCCCCTGGCAGCCTTTAGTGGCTCTTCACTCCTTGTGGGAGGGGGTGAGGGAATGAGGGGCCCTCCCCCAGCACCCTGATCTGGCCTAGGAGGACCGGGACAGAAAGGGGCTGCAGGAAGAAAAGTGGGGTCTGGTGAGGGGTGTGAGTATCTGAGGCAGGTGCACCTCAGCCCAAGGCCTGGGACCTAGAAACTCCTCCCGCCCAGCTCTGGACCCCACAGTCTAGGTGTGGGCTGGCCAGGCTCTGGGGGCTCCAGGGAAGGTCTTCCCATACCCCCCAGCTCCTGGAGGACTGCCAGTGTTTGGCTTGTCACCCCATCCCGGGCTCCCTCTTCACATGCCACCTTCTCTGCGTCTCTGCACCTTCTCAACCAGACACTGGGTTTCACCCAAAGCAAACACCACGTCGGCTGCCCTGGAGCAGACCTACCCACAGAAGCCCCGTAGGTTTCCGAGATCGCATCTCCCCGGGGGCAGGCAGCTTCATCTCCTCCCTCTTACCCAGTTTGAACCGACAACCTGTGGGCTAGCAGTCCAACACCTGGCCCAGTGACTCCCGGGCTGCTGACCACTGGATCTCGGGCCACTAGCCCGCAGTGGAGGCCTGGGTGGTGGAAGGGCTCTCTCACACAGATGCCTCAAAGGCTGCAGGTTCGAACCCCATGAGCCCAGGAGAAAGGTCTGCAGAGCTGCCGTGAGAACCTGGGCACAGTCTGGCCCTCAGGGCCACCGTGGGGCCACTGTACGGTCATCGTGTGTCTGGCCACTGTGTGGTCATGGTGGAGTGACTGTGCATCTGGGCCACAAGGGGTTGACTCAGGGCCACTGGTTCCCCACCCCCACCCCCCACCCCCGCCAAGGGCCTGAGAAAGGACATGGGCAGCGAGAGAGGGAGGGACACCACGTGGACTGCCCTCAGATGAGCTTGCAGTAAGCTCAATGGACACCTCCTCCCAAAGTCAATGCTGTCCACTGCCTGTCCTGTGGGCAGGCAGTCCACCTACAGTGTTGTGGGAGAAAGCCCTGGCAGCCGACTGCTGAGGAACCAGCTACTGGCAGGTTGTGTGGGGACGTGGCTGGGCCATCGGTCCACACACAACTCCAGCCTCCTGGGCCCTGCACCCCCACTCCACTAGGGGAGGTGGCCTCCCCACGGTCCAGCTTGGTGGACCTGAGGGGGCTCTTAGACAGGATTGAGGTTGTATGCTTCAGAGGCGAGAAGTGTCAGGTAAGATCAGCCAGCAGAGAAGGCAAGAGGAGCTGGTGGGAGATGCTGTTTGTCCACCAAGAGGTGGGGGCCTGGGGAGGGTATATCAGAGCTGGGTCTGGGGCTCTGTGGGATGGGTGATGGGTGGTGGGGAGCATACTTGGAGCTGGGTCTGGGACCCTGGGACCCGGGGGCGTCCTCTGAGCCAGCCCTTCTTCTCTGCCTTAGTCTTTTGCCTACGCCCCCACGGGACCCGTCTGTGGGATTGAGAGTTGCATTACATGCTGTGGCTTGTTCGTGGTTGGGGGCACAGGGCACCTCACAGTGGACCCTTATGGCCTTACCTTGAAGATGCATACACAGACCCTGTTCTTGTGGCTGAGGACCTGGCAGGGGGAGGTCTTGTGGTCTTTGTGTAGGCCCCTTGACCTCCCTCCAATGACCTTTGTCCAGCCCTGGTAACTACAGTCAAGCTGGGCCTGGGGATACCAGTCTCAGCTGTTGGCCAGCATGGCACGCTTCTGCACTGTCTGTTCTTCTTGCCACCGACCGTGGGGTCCGGCCAGTGGTCAGCCAGCTGCCATGACCTGTCGAAGGCTCATCTCCAGCCCAATGTCCTTCCGGAGCATGGAGGTCCAGTTGGGTGGCTGGGCTGGGGCTTTCGGGATATTCCAGGGCATTGCTACAGCAGGTGTGCCTACCTTTGTCCCCAAGGTGGTCCTGGGTTGACAGAGGGGTGGCTGGTCTCCCTCATGGTCTTGGCCTTTATGTCTCGCAGATTTCCCACCTGGCCAAGGTCAGCTGGCCAGCCTTCCTGTGCAAGCAGGAGCTGGGCCCCAGGGAGGCAGGGTCTGCAGTCCAGTGACCGGCAGGCCACCAGCTCTGCTGCTGGTCAGGTGTGCAGGCCGGGTGACAAGTGCTGGTGGGTGGAGGAGACCCATGCAAGCTCAGGAGCCGGGGCAGGTGCTCAGAGCAAGCTCCTGGGTGGGTGGGTGGGTTGGGGGGAACGAGGGCTCCTGAGTCCACGTGTGGCCCCGTCTCAGCTCACCAAGACCACTGTATCCGACAGACCCTGGTATGGGAGGGTTGAGAGGCAGCAAAGGGGGGGCGTGGGGGCAGCTGGCTGCTGCCAGTAATCTGTCACTTGGCTCCGACCCTTGGTGACCCTGGTCCTTCATGGTCCTTGGTCTGTCTGGCCACTGTGTGCCAGTCCTCCCTGTGTGTGTGGGGTGGGGGTGGGGGTGTCTCCCTCAGTCTTACTGACAGCTACTCAACACGGGTCCCTCAGGACAGTGTGTTCAACCTAAGTGGGCAGAGCCTCGGGCAACTTCTGTGACCACGGGTTCCACAGGCTCCTTTCCAGAAGTGGGTCTGGGGGTCTTTCTTCTTTGTCTGAGTCTGGGGGCTCCATTGGGAGACCCTGCTGTATACAAAGTGCAGGAGGCACAGCTTCCAGCACCCCTGCCCACGGGAGCCTGCAGGCTGCTCACAGGGCAGCGACACGTGCTTGGGGCTGTCACCCACAGGCTCCCCCGGGACATCTCACTCAGAGTCCCTCCCACATGGCTTCCTCAGCGCTGGGAGGGGCCCTGCCCTGTGGTCTGTTTGAAGGCTCTCTAGGGACGTCCCCGGCTGTGACTTAGGTGCCCCCACAGGGATGCCTTCCCCTAAACAGGGCTATCTGTCCCCCGTACAGGGCTGTGTGACCCCATACAGGGTTGTCTGGCCCCCCCATACAGGGCTATCTGATCCCACACAGGGCTGCCTGCCTCCCACACAGGGCTGCCTGCCCCCCATACAGAGCATGTCATTGTAGGAAGGTCCCTGAGAGCATGTGTCCAGGAGTGTAACAGGTCACAGGTTGGGGGCAGCCTCCAGCACCCCACTCTGGTTTCTGGGGAGGTGGGTGGGACCCTTGGATTCTGGTTGCTGTTTCAGCCAAGTTGTGGGTCAGGGCGCTGGCCCATTGGTGCTCACACGGGGTGGTGGCAGCCTGGCCCCAGGTTAACACACCCCACCTGCCACCCACACACCTCTGCTCACATGCCTGGAGTCTGTCTCTGGCACTGTGGAGACAGCTGTCTGAGGCTGAGAGGCAGCCAAATGGGTTAACCCTGTTTGTGCCGGGCTCAGCTGTGCTGGCAGCTGGCTCCCCAGGAGAGGCCCAAGCTGCTAGGCACTAGGGGAGACCTGGAAGGAGGGGAGATGGTGACTGGGGTGTTCTGGTGGTCACCCGGCTTGAGCCTGTCCAGCCAGGACCTCTTTGTGGCTCACCAGTGGGGCGGGGTTCTGAGGTCAGGCCCTCTTAGCGGGGTGTCAGTGGGGTGCAACTGCACATCAGGGGCTCCTGTGTCAGAGGGGGGCTGTTAACCTCCCTGGAGGCGGGAGGGGAGGGAGCAGGCGATAGGCTGAGGCCCCTGAGCTCTTGGTGGGTCTTGGTCCTTGGGGGCAGGGCCCCCAAGAGAAGGGAGGGAGAAGGCCTGTAACAGCCCCTGGTGTAGCTACAGCCTCCAGTCAGGAGCCCTGGCAGAGAGGCTTGGGGTTCAGAACTGGGTCCCAGCAGGGAACAGATGTGTCCCTTGAGGGGAGTGACCCAGGAGGGCTGACCTACAGGGGCACTTCCAGAGGAGGGGAGGGGCCATGCAGAGGAGGGTCCTGTGGAAGAGGGCACCCTGAGGAGGAGCGGGGTGGGGTGGGCCTTGGTTCGGGACATGTCAGCCTGAGGCAGCTCCAGGAGGGGACACAGGAATAAGTACCCACCTTCATCCTCCTCTTCCTCCCACCCTCCACACGGACCCCCGCTGGCCAAACCTAGTGGGGAGCTAGGGTCAGGGCTCATCGCCGGGGTACATAGGGCCACTCAGGCAGGACTGGACATAGGTGGGGGGAGTGACTCTGAAGGCCAGGTGGAAGACTCAGTGAGTGATGAGTGAATGAATGAATGAATAGATGAGTCAGTGGACAAGTGAGTGAATGAATGAATGGGTGAGTCAGTGGATAAGTGAGTGAATGAATGAATGAAT